TAGTAACAGTAAGTTGATAAGCAGGCAGCTCAAGTCCTTGTATACTGGTGTTACTCATCAACAGCAGTCTCCAGCACAATAACAGGCTGACTGATTTTTTAGTTTCATTTATTTTTTTTTTTTTTTAAATATGAAGAATAAGTTAGTTACACAAGTTCCTTTAAAAAGAACAGAAAAGAACAATGAAGCCATGTTCCTTTTATCCTCCCCTTTGTGCAAATGGTGTGTGAACTTTGGTCTGTGTACTGTGTGAAAAGTGAACGTTTTATTCAGCAATGGCTCGTCGCCTGTTGAAAAGCTGATCAATTCTATGTGATTCGGTTTTGAACGATTTGCCAAGTTTATGAAATATGAAATCAAATTGTTATGTCTAATCAGTTGCAGTTTATGAAAAATATGATTAGGTAGTGGAAATATGCCCAAATATCACAAGCAATGCAGAAGAACACTGCATGTAAGACGAAGAACACTGTGGTTCACAAGTCTCTATACTCTCTAGAGACTATATCTGATGATTCTCCAAGAACAAAATAGAGAGAATGTGTAGAAGGTTATCAAATCTCTGTTTTTTATTTTCGTAGGCTCGCTTATTTGCATGAAATCTATAGAGCCAAAAGTCGTACATTGTGACATAAAATCAAGTAACATCTTGATGGACTAAAAACTCGGTGTAAAAGTATATTTGCATGAATCTATAGAACCAACCTTGAAGTTAAGCCAAGCACACAAGCGCTAAGACGTGCATTATGGGTTGCACTTAAATGTGTCGATCCTGATTCGGAAAGACGGCCTAAAATGGGACAGATTGTACTCATACTCGACACTTGAACATTTTATTATTGAAAACTCATCAGAGTTTGAATTTTTATTTGTTACCTACTGAACATTCACTGGAATTTTTATTTGTTGCCACACGAATCTCAAATGGTCACGATCTTCGCACTTAGCATTTGATATTTTTACTTCTTTTTTCAGAGTCTGCTAAGCAAACTGCAGAAAGAAAAATTAATCACAATAACTGCAAATTTTTGGTGGAGAATGGACATTTTGTAATGTTTTCTAATGCTAAGATAGCTTGACAGATAATCAATTTTGAGAAGTTGTATATTCATACTTGAATGGGCGGTTGAATTTATTTGATCATGAGAGAGAAGAGTTCTCCTTGTCTAATGATTTAGTTGATTTGAGAATTTATGAGCTTTCTTAGCATTAGAAAGCATTAGAAATTTTAAGCTGGGGTTGTCGGGCTCCTGAGGCTGTCCGTGGAGGCAGTCTCGGTTTTGTTAGAGTTTAGGTCCGTTGGTCCGGGTCGAGTTAGCCGTAGAGGGAGTTTTTCGGCCCGGGTTTTTGGGCTGATCTGGTGGTGGCTCGCCTTTGTTTTGGAGGTTTTCGTCAAAGAAAGGATGTTGTCCTGGGTTGTCCGGATCCGGTAAGCTTGGATCTGCAGTTTGGGTTGGTGTTCTCTGTGAATGGATTTCTCTGGGGTGTCGGCTTCGTTGGTGTTGATGTGGATTGGCTCGTAGGTCATAGAAGAGGGTGTTATTCTAATATTAGCTATTTTTTATTACTTGTGTTTTGCTTGTTTTGTGTTTTGTTTAGTGTCGCTTGGATGTGTTTGTATTTTTTTTCTCCTCTGTATGTGTGTATTCTCAGGTGGTGTGTATTCTTTTTTTTTTTTTTT